GGTCGCATTTGGAGCAGCCTTCGAATTGGGACAGCCTTCATTGCCTGGCTGTGACGTAATTGGCCTTCAAATGCAGCCTCCGAAGCATGATGCCTAAGAATTGGGACATACCTTAAGACACCCGGGCTTGACACTGGGACAGGGGGAAAACGGACGTGGAGACATGACCGACTGGGGAGACACAAAGGGAATGCCAAACACAGAGAATGATATAAACAAACATGACTACAAGACTGACTAAACACAGGAGCAGATTAGATACTGAGGAAGGAAAAACTCTAAGATAACTAAGAACAGAAGGCTAACTGAAACAAATTTAGCAAACCTTATACAGAATGTAAATATAACCATGAAACTAGGAAGCACATAGAATATTCCAATAAGTTGGATGAACTAACTATTTAGATGCAATTCAATACTATGCAATATTAAACTAAAAGTTAAATTAAAAGTTAATATAAAACCTGGGTACAATTAGCCTTCACACCTACCTTGCTGTCAAATGAGGTGAAACACAGCTGGCAGTCCAGCTCAGTGGGATGAGCGAGCAACCATATACCGTATGGTGAAGCGTGGCCGGCCAGGGTTCAAGTCTGATCCATGGCCCTTTGCCACATGTCTTCCCCTTTCTCTGTCACTCTTCACTGCTCTGTCCAATAAAGGACAAAAATAATATATATTTTAAAAAAAACCACTATAGCATGATAAAAAGTTCTTCTATGGTATGTAAGTTCACCACATTAATGCAACTGTAATGGTAAATAGACTGGTTCTTATATAGCGCTTTTCTACTCTGTCTGAGCAGTCAAACAAATAGTATATAATTAATTCATTCACCCAATCACATAAGCACTTCTTCTAAGTTCTTAAGTGCTCTATCTTACATTCATACACATTCATACTCTGATGGATGGAGAGCAACATGGGGTTAGTATCTTGCCCAAGGATATTTGGCACGCATGAATCATAGGGATACCTGCAAACAATCGAGAAGACTTTGCGGATGCATTAGACTACAATGAAAGGTGCTTAAAAGGCCAAGGAACATTATATATGAGCCATAATAATAATAAATAGTTTATCGCAGTGACAGCAGAAGAGACACACTTTTTTGTTTGTTTTTAGTCTTTAAAAGAAATTTAAAATTTTCTTTCAGACTGGCGTGAGCTGTCATATGCCAACTGGACAGAATCTCATGTGAGTTCCTGGCTGAGATCCATTGGAATAAAAGAAGTGCATATTATAAAAATGGAGGAGGAGGAAGTGACAGGACCAATTCTCACAACTTTACACCAAGATTTCCTCAGAAAAACAATTGGAATGAAAAGTGGCCAAATTGAACATTTATTGAAGAAACGAGATGAACTTTTAATACCACAACAGCAGAAAATAAAAAAAAGTGATCTGTCTGGTAAGAGTAGAGATGGCAAAAAAGAAACTGTTGAAGATGTAGGACAAGAAACCCAGCTTTCACCATTTCATCACAAACCAGAGCATAAAAAGAATCCTACAGATAGCAGTGAAAACACGTCATCTACAGAAGTAACTCTATCTTTTTGTGACTATCGAAAATTTGACCAGGATGAAAAGGACTTCAGGTATGTGAAACATCATGTCCTGCCTCCTGAGACAGGGACTGAAAACATGATGGTTCCATGTCATGAATATAAGTCGCTTGAGATTGCATACAAACTAGAGTCAAAGAGGTTACAAGTAAAAGTAGCCAGTGAAGTACTAAGATTTGCATGCGCATGCATGAATATGAGAGCAAATGGGACAATTCACTTTGGCATCATGGATAAAGTCAAAGGAACTCACAAGCATGGAGAAATCATCGGGATACCTGCAAACAATCGAGAAGACTTTGTGGATGCATTAGACTACATTGAAAGGTGCTTCAAAGGGTCAAATCAACAAAGTGATGCCAGGAGTTGTATAAGGCACCCCCGATTCATTGAGGTGCTTGACAAGGAAAGTAGTGGGAACACATGGGTCATTGAATATGACATTGTCCCTAAAGCAAGCATTGTAAAAGATAAGCTTTACTATGTCGGTGTTCCTAAATTCTCTGAAAAAGACAACAAAGTCAAATGTGAAGAGAAAGTTCCCTATTACAGAGTTGGAGCAAACACACCACGTGTACCTGAAGACGACCTTGTTCTTTTCATTCAAGGACTGAGAGAAAAAGACCAACAGAGAGAGGAGGCAGAATCTACAAGCAATGAAACAACTCTGGACTTTGGAGAGGATCAAAAGAGGAAACTTTCTATCCTTCTAACATGTGGGAAAAAGCACATGGACAACTCTCTGTTTTACCTTGTTGTAACAAACAAATTACAACCAGCACATCTTGACAACATAAGCTTCTTAGTTCACATGAATTTATTCTGTGTGTTTGACTTTGACCCAGATTCAAAGACATCTGGTTTTTGTGGCAGATACAAGGAACAGAAGGTGACAAACCTCCACTTTCTTGATGATTATGCAAATGACAATAAATTGGGAAATACTAACATCATAAATTCTTTGCAACTTTTCGAGAGAACAAGTTGGATTTTTTGCAATGGAAGACACAACTTCCCAGGTGGAGAACAACCCTGTGATGAGAAAACTTGGATCAAAACAAGAAAAAGGAAACTGAAAAAAGTAGTGTCACTCATCTGCAATGAGATACTTCCCAGAGGGTCATTTGTTGTCCTCTTCCTGCTCATGTCTGAAATTGAACAGCCACTTGTTGAAATTTTTCACGAATTCTATGCAGAGATGAGCGGACATGAATTTCTGACAGTCTTATCAGAGTCAAAGGAAAACTACACGAAGTGGTCAAGTCTTGCCCAGGTGTCTTGCCCAATTTCTGATCTCAAAGAAATCAGCATTGTTGAAATGCCACTGAGTCATGTGGATGCCACAGTTCAAAGCATTCAACTATCAAAGAATCAACCCAGAAGGACATTACCAGTCCCAAATGGAGGCTTGTGCTTCATAAAGTCTGTTGAAGAGTCTATGCTAGATTCTTTGGAAATCATCAGTGTTGACCAGTGTGATGATACAAAACTAGAGATCATGAGTGAGGAGGAAATCCAACAAACTGAGAGCTACTTCTATCGAGGTGGAAAGATAAACTGGATCAACTTCTGGCTTGCTGATAAACATAAGTGTGGTATGATAATAGAGAGGGATGCCTACAAAGAAGCAAATACCTTACTAGACAACATAGTATATCGTAATAAAGCCAAACGCCCCATAGAGAGTGTGAACATATACCATCATCCTGGCAGTGGTGGAAGTACAGTGGCACGACAGGTCCTCTGGAGGTGGAGAAATAAAGTCCGATGTGCAGTTGTTAAGCAGTGTAAGGAAATCACAACTGTGTGTGAACATGCAGTGAAACTGAGGGAACATGATGAGACAGACAAAAGCAAATGTCTCCCAGTGCTCCTCCTATTAGAGGACTACAATAAGGATTATATTGACGATCTCAGGCGTCAACTTGGAAATGTCATTGCAACCAAAAAGATAAGTCCCTCTGTGTTGTGTTTTATCTTGCTCATCTGCAGCAGGTCAAACGATCCAGAAAGAATGTGTAGAACATTACCATCTCAAACAATAGCAGTCACTCACAAGCTGTCTGCAGACGAGAAGCCTCAGTTTTCAAAAAAGCTGGAGCAACTCAAACTGCAGTTTGAACCTGACTTCATCCTCACATTCGTACTCATGAGTAAAGGGTACCAGCCAAGCTACATTGAGGACTTTGTAAAAAATCTTCTAGATAAAATCGATCATTCAACACCAATAACTCGTCTCATCAGATTTGTGGCTCTCCTGAACTGCTATGTCGATGATTCGTATATATCTGTATCACACTGTGAGGCATCTCTCGGCATTACTACCCATTTTGACAAAGCTCAGTACCATGCCTTTGTGGATCATCTAAGTGAAGAAGCCAGGCTCATTTTCATCCACCTTAACCAAAGTTCAACACACATCCAATCCATACGAATTATTCATCCACTGGTGGCAGAAGAAATTCTGAGTCAGCTGTCTGCTAATTTGCCTCAGAGTGATATTGCCACGGATCTCATCGGTGACAAGGTACTGATCAACCACAGGTTTGACAGAGATGAGTTTCTGAAGTTCATCAGAGCTCTTTTCATTAGACGCAACAAGAAGAGCAGAGGAGATCCTAAAGACACAACTTTTTCACCCCTTATTGAGCATGTCTGTGATGTTGATAAAGGGGGTGTTCAGAAAGCTGTTGATCTTATGAAAGCTGCTTACATAGCTTTAGGAAAAGATGCGCATGTGGCACAACAGCTTGCTCGGCTGCTTTACACTCATAATAGATTTGAAGAGGCTCTTGAATGTGCAGAGGAAGCAAAATCTCTTCTTCCATATGACACATTTATACTCGACACAGTAGGACAAGTTTATAAGTGGTGGTTTTATCACTTGTATGATACCCTTGAAGAAAAAGAACCATCTCCTGAAAGGTGCACTGAAATCATAAGCACAGCACTCAAAGGAATTTCTGCCTTTCGGGCCTCTGAAAAAACACCAATATATGATACTGTCAGCTTTAACAGCTCATATTATGGGGAAGTAGATGTTGGTTGCAGGCTCCTAAAATTCCTGTCAGGAGTAGACATTTTTTCAAACACTACTGGAAAATCAGAGCTGATGAAGTACCTGCTAACAGACTACATACCAGCAGAGGTCAAAACACCCTGGCAGAAGTTTCATCAGCAGTTGAAAGGCTTACAGAGGAGCTTGAGCCAAGCACTTGAGTACATTTCTGAAGATCTTAGCTACTTTCAAACTGATATTAGCGAAGATGATGAAGAACTCGATGCAAGGGATCCAGAGCAAGTATACAATCCTAGAAAGTGGTTGACAAGGAAGAGTGCTGTATATGCTGGATTTTTCTGCAATGCACCAGATGAGAGTGATCAAATAGCTGAAAGCAAAAACATTGACATGGTTGGTCCAGTTGAAAAGCTTTCTCCATTCCAAAGACAGATGAGGACCTACAATCTTGGTGGAGGAAATGTTACATCCATCCTCTCCCTACTTTATGACAAAAATGCAAAGAACGCAGGAAAAAAACTTGAGACAATCTTTAGCCTGTACCCAAAAAACCTGATGTGGAATGATCTTGATCCAACAGAACTCACAAACTTCATCTTTTGTCAGATAGCTCTCAACTGTATTCTACCTGGTTCCTCAAAGCTTCTGTCTCTTCAAAAGTTACAAGAACTCAGCAGGAGATTTGTGACAAAAGGAAAACAGATGTCATCAGCAAGTGCTCTCTTCCTTCTCTCCCTTCTGTTTTGGCCTGAGACAAGTAATGAAGTCAGTCATAATGACACTGAAATTCTTTTATCTGCCATTGATGCCCTTCAAAGACTCTGTGAGCACAAAATCCAGCACAAATCTCAGCGGAAAAGCAGAATTGTGACACACTTCTTTTTGGCAAAGGCAAGAGGTCTTAACAAGATTGTACACAGAAATGCTATCGAAAAGGAGATTAAAGGCACTCTAAGTGAAAGAAAACTAAAATGGCTTGGAGGAGAAGTATGGAAAACAAAACAAGTTGTGCAACTTCTCAAACGGGTTGAAGGGTGGACAGAAAATGAAAACTTGTTTGTGAAGTGTGGAAGCGGAGGCAGCAAGATCAGAGTCATTCCTCGATATAGTTCCTCCCTGCCACATGGAAATGAAAAGGTCACTTTCTACTTGGGCTTTTCATTTGATGGAGTAGTTGCCTTTGACATCCAAGTGATGGAATAATATCTGCAGTGTAAATGTGCAATATGTGTCTATATACACAATACTGTAATGTAACATAATTTTGTAACAACTTTTTCCTACCAATATTTTTCTTTCCCAGTATACCATTATTCTTTTGTGAACGGTGATATAATATGGAAGTGTGAATTCATGTACTAAAGGTTATATGCATTTCTGAAATAATGTCATACAAAAAAAATCTAATTTTGCAGAGGACAAAAAGTCACATTTCTAATAGCATTTTTAAAATTATTTTACTTGTATGTTTTAAGCAAATGTCTTTGTAATGATTTTATTTCTGGGTTTATTATCTGTGTGCTATTTTGTTATGCTTTGAGAAAGTTAATTCGTTTTAGTAAATGGAAGCAGTGCCTCTTCCTGGAGATTAATAAAAAAAACCTTTTGTGGCTACTACTACTTGTTTTGTGTTTTTAGATCACTTGCAATTTGGGATAGTTGAGTGGAATGTGTCAGTTATTCTGTATCTTACATTTTACGTTTTTTATAAACATTTCATCATGGTACTTTTTTTTTTTTTTTTTTTTACCATTTTTGCTATTAGTTTTCATAAAAGTTTTCTTGAAAATTGGTTCTCAATTTTTTTTATAAAACAGGTTAAGTGGCACATTCGGTTCAAGATGCATTCACAAGGGCAACATTTATTCAAACTGTTTATTTTTTATTTTTTTTTAAAAAAAGAAAAACAAAAAAAGCATTCAGAATTGGTACATACATAAGACATAGGTTTAACAAAGAGAGTTTCAGTTTATAAAGCAATTTTCCATTCCTTGTTAACCAGCTTCCTTACCTTGATTTTAATAAATGTACAACCCCATACTTACCAATGAGGACTACCTGCATTAATCCTGCACTGACTTTAAACTATACATTATATTCAACTTCTCATGAAATTATGTAGTAATGAAAAAAACATGCTGCATACTAGCATAAACTTCTTCATATTTATGAAGCATTATGTGAGATCCAAATAAATGATTAGACATTAAGATCGCAAGAATGTATACCAAACAGCCAATGAACATCATCGTTATAGTAGTGTTACTAACTGGTTACTGGCTGAGATTCATCCTCATGTAAGCATTTAAATTAAAATGATTGTGTATTTATTTTAAATTAAAAATAAATACATGACGTATTTATTTCAACACTGATATACTCATGCAGACGTCTATCAGACAACAATAATTAACAGATTTCTGAAAAACTGTCCATACACACAGAGAGACAATGGTCTTTTGCATTTAATAACTGTTTATCAGGCCATAATAAAATCATTCTCACTGCTATATCGCCTGATCCAAGTGATAAATGCAAAATAAATACTGTACATGATAATCAATGGTTAACTGGAATTAAATGAATATATATCATTACAAAGATATATAAAAATGACACAGATACACCCAAGTGACACTTTTTCTGTATGACTACAGACTGATAGGGTTAATGTTTTTAACATCCAAATATTTGTGAAGACTAATAATATGTGATGGAGTTCACCTATACATTTGTAATCAGCAGAGTTTGCTTCTTTATAAGTTGACGGTGGGCTATTATTGCTTATGTTTGGCTGGCTGTATTGACATTTCATAGTATTTAAATATCACAGTCACAAACTCTGACAAAGCTGGGCAAACCCTATTATTACCTGTCTCTCATCAATAAAATCCGGTCAGAAAGTTGATGCTGCTCCTCAGGCCTCTCAAATGACATGCAAGTGGCAGTGACAACAAGAACAGTCCAGTGAGGGGCAGAATTATAAAAATGCAACTGATGGGCATCACAAGCTGTTAACTGAGAATTGACGCAGCCCAAATTAAAATCTTAAATAAAATATAAAATGATAAAACAGTCTGCTATCAAACAGGAGCCCAAAAGGCAAATGCTTGAGTACCACCTGGGGTCTATCTGTGTACATCTGACTGTAACTTTTAGTATTAAATATCTGACTGTAGAGCATTCACTATTAAATATATTGATAAACTACAATTAAAGGTCCATACTTTCAAGACTGAATTAAATCAAACCTTCCTGATGTTCTCACCAATAGAGATCTTCACAGCTCCAAAACTTTCTGTGCTACTTGCTATAGCACTGGTGGTCTGGCCTTGGCAGGGAATACTGACTGAGTCAGAATCAAACTGGACACAGCTGCCAATCCCCACCAGGTGAAACAGTCTGGATTTGCATCAATTTTACAGCTGATTACTATGAACAAACAAACAATTTATTTACAGATGGTCAAAATAAAACTTGACCTAATTTAACATTAGCTTTCTTTGCTGGCCTGGCTGTGATGCATATAATACCCCCTCTTTGCCAAGAAAGCTGATTATGGTTTCTCTCTTGCTGATGGAAACAATGTGGCTAATGGACTAATTTTATTTTGAAAGTCCACTTGAACTGGAGGAGCAATAGCTAATTCCTTGGTTATGCCTGATACCTCCTATACAAGGGTGCAGTGTGTCTCTGACCATTTGCCAAAGATGCACTTTGCACTTCACTTCTATCATCATCATCATCAGGACCGTCTAATAGCAGGTGAATTTTTCTGATCCTTTCATGTATTACCCAAACTGGATAGCAGACCCAGGATAACAGTAGTAAGACTGAGTCAGATATCCAGTCCTAGGGCTCAGGTGGACCAGTGAAGAACTTCACCAGTAAATAACAATATACCAGATACAGCTTAATGAAAAACAAAGAAATAGTGTTTAAGTGAGTTAACATGTTTGTAGAAAAGATGCCTAAAGGCAAAAACACAATCAAGGGCCTTCACCAAACTTGCTACAAGTTTGGGGACACTGATATCCAACAGCCAAAAGCTGTGAGGGCCCCTGATAATGGATGAGAAGACAGAAAACAGTGAGACTTGCCTCTGGCTGAAACAGGGCTACACTGAGACAGGGCCTCAGCCAGTTCCCCCCAATGGCATTGCTACAGGGAGAAGAAAAATCTGGGTTTTAGCACTACAGCCTTTAATGATCTGGATGTTATGCACCTGTACAGTGCTTTCTATCAGTGACATGTACAGAGCATCAGTAAAAGACTCCCTAGATAAAAGACAATATTTACAATCATTTTGCATTTCATATACAAGATATCAATCTTTACTGTTCACCTTCAGAACAATAGAAGCACAGTCACAATGCAGTTTATACCAGGAGTACAAACCTGTTGTGACGTCTCAGCCCAGCAACATCCCACAAAAAACTAACATTTCATTACAATACAGTGTCACAGTCATACATATACTACTAAATACCTCCTTTATTTAGAGTTAAGGGAGTAATTGTTCATACAAATATCAACACAAAGACAGAGTTAGAGCATGAACAGGTAGTAGAAGCCCTCACCAAACAAAGTTGGGGACACAAGTCCAACAGCACTACGTGCTGTGAAGGCCTCACTGTTTAGCTTAGAACAGAAAGGTATTTACATCAAACTTGCCTTGATAAAGGGTGGGTACTGCCCATGTAACTCCAGCGCCTTCACAACACTACGAACCATATCTACTACACTTCTATACACCTAAACATGAAAAGGAAAAAAAGCCACAAAACAGAGATGGTTTCAATCAGAATCAAATCAAACAGGTCTTTGATAGATGCAATGTAATATTTCCCCATGCCATGGGATGTTTACAGCTCCTGTCTTTGCTGTTTATTTAATGTCTCTTCCTCATAGCTCAGTAGCAGAACATCAGTATACTTTGGTAATATAATACCAATACTGGTTTCTCTACTAGCCGCTGAGGGCATTAGAAAAGGGTTGAGAGTCCAAACCTATTGAAGAGAGGGAGCAGACTTCAGTAGTGGCCTCCAGGAGACATGACAGGGGGTCTCGTGACAATGGTTGGCCGTGGAGGGCCTCCCTGGTACACTGGGGGAACAACGGGAGGGGCCTGAATATACGGAGGTATTCGCCCAGGTATGTAGCCTGGCATCCCCTGCTGTGGCCCACCATACTGACCTGCAAGGACCAGGCTCATTGGTAAAAACATAATTTTTACTGCAGCCCTTTTAAAACTCTACAAATATTATCTATAGAGCACTTTCTAAAACAATTAAGCTGAAATAGAGTTAAACATTTTCAAGACTACAAAAAAATGAAGCCAATTAAATTAAATTCTTTGGTTTACAGTTGGCCTAAAACTACCAGCAGTGTATACCAGGTATGGGATGCCTCATGCTGTGCTGCTGAGGAGCCATCATGCCACCCACTGACGCTGTAGCACTGGTGGTCTGGCCTTGACGAGGAATACTGCACTGGTACTGGGACAACTGAGCCCGAAACTCTTCCTACGGCACAAAAAAAGCAAATAAAAGTGATTTGACACTTGACATGTGTAGCTCAGCTGGGAGGAAAAAAACAAGAAAAATATATTTTTTTAAAATAACAAGAACATTGCATAACTACTTACTTTAACAAGAGTGTTCCAGCTAGAATACTTACCAGTGAGATATCCTCATCAGGGTGGATCAACTTACTGGTTGCACTGGAGGTGGTGAGCGTGGCAGGCTTACTGGTTACTGTGGAGGGAGGTTTGGAGACCGTACTGCTGCCAGCATTTGGGCTGGCCAAACCGGCGGAGGACTGAGTGTAGGCTGGGAAAGTGGGCTTTGTGAGGTCGGAGGTGGTGGAGGGGGGAGTGTGAGGGGACCCCAACACTGACTGCTGACTCTGAGGGAAGAGACAGGAAAGCAGGTTAGAGACACTCAGCAGAAAGACCTTTGAATTTCACAGGGGGGTCAATTTTAGTCAAACTCCAAGATTACTCCAATGATATAGATTATTTGGTCCTTTTTAGCCTTGGCATTCATAACGTTCATGAGCAGGAATAAAATGCATTTGTCTGGAACAGCTATAGACAAAAATTTTAATACTTTGAACTCTTCCTTGTATCCGTAATAGATGACAATCAAAAAGTGTTTCTTTCATGTGTTCTTTTTTAAAATGAGAATTTATGACCCTAGATT